GCTCTATTTGAAATTGTCATAACTAAACGAACGTTGAACGCATCATGATGTTTATTATCACTAACCTAGTTATTTTTATGTTTATTTGTTGGAAGTTGGTTTCTCTTTTTTTTTCTTTTTTTTTTCAATTTTTTTTTTTTTTACTCATAAATTAAATGCATTTTTGGGCCACATTGAAAACATAAAAAATGCTTTGACATTTCCTCCGATTGAAAAAGTTTTTATGCTAAATGAATTGAATGGCACATCAAACATATATATATATATATATATACGCATATATATGCTTGTGGGCTTTGAGTGGGTGTATTTGGCAGATCAAGTGAGTGCGGGGACAGACATACTGAGCCAGTGTGGTAAAATGAATGAATTATTTGAGTAACCTTTTGAGCACTGCATATTTCGTAATACTCGCTCGCGTCTGATTGAATTGGTTATTGTTCGAGTATAAATACATATGTATATATGTATGCATATTATATGTATGTATATGCATGCTGACATGGATAATGCCATTAATGACGACAACTGAGAGCAAGTCTTTCCGCATATAATATGCAACATTCATGAAGTGCACTGCAAATCGAATGCAATTGAAATAATCCGGCGTGGGGCGACTAACAGACGCTCAAATGGTTCGTATTGAGCACCACGCCCGCCGCCATGTAGCCCCCGATGGCCCCGTTGTTGGGCCGGTGGTGGTGGTGGTGGTTGTTGTGGCTGTGATTGGTGTGCGGTGCATTGCTCGCCGGCGATGTGGAGACGGCCACAATGCTGCCCGCTGCATCGCCATTCTCGACAACGAGTCCCCCGATGCCCACAATGGGGCTGCGGCTGCCCGACTTGGCCAAGGCCAACGGCACGCCGCCAATGGGCGTGGTTGCCGTGGTGGTGGTGGTGCCGGTGCCGGTGCCGGTGCTCAAGCTGGTGCCGCTAATGTGCGCACTGATGCCACTCGGCACGCTGGCCATGCCATGGGCGCCGCCAGCTGGCGCCGTTGACGCCGAGGCGGCGGCTGCTGCGGCCGCAGCGCTGTTGACGCTGGCCGCGGTGCGCGTCAGCTCCTCGTTGGGTATGGAGAAATGGCGATAGGAGATGTACTCGGGCGGCATGGCCGCCTGCCGCTTGGCGTTCTCGATGCGCTGCTTCTTGAGCTTCACGTAGCTGAGCACCGATATCATCACAATGAACACAATGATGCCCAAGCAGCAGCCGACAATCAGGCCCAGGCGACGCGTCAGTATCGAGTGTATGAAGCCGTTGCTCGACAGCCCGTTCTCGTCCGTGATCAGGCTGGGCGTGGAGTCCAGGGTCTGGACGTCGGTGCAGGCCGAGATGTGCGAGTTCTTGAGCACCTCATGCAGCGCCTTGTCCGTCACAATGCTGTTCTCAATCAGCGCCTGCTGCTGCTGCTGCTGCTGCTGCTGCTGCTGGAGCTGGTGCTGCTCGTGGATGGCGCCGTTCAGATGCTGATACGGCGAGTAGCTGTCCGGCATGGAGGGCAGGGCGGCGGCCAGGGGCCCATCACCAGCTGCTGCCAGCGTGAGCAGCAGCTCGTCGCGCGACTCATTGTAGTGCAGCCTTTGGAGCGCATTGGCCAACGGCTCCGAGAGCCAATTACCCGTGCCGATGACGCAGATGTGATAGCGCGTGTTGGGACTCAATTTCGTTAGCTTTGTCGAGCTGGCCGTGCCGTTTAGCCGCTTGCCGTGTATCTGTGGAATAAATTAACCAAGTTTTCAACATAATTATTGCGATGCCAACCTCAGTCATGCACTCAATATGCCCCAGTCACCAATTCCTCACCACATCATCATCATCATTGTCATCATCGTCTTCATCATCGTCCGCGTCGCCCTCGTCGTGTCGTTTTATTAAAATTTTCTTTTTGGCCCTGCGGCCGCAACATGACTAACTGACCTCGACAATGGGCTCGATTAGCGATTTAATTGTTAAATACAATGATGGAAAATAATAGCAAAAGAAGCTACATTTATTATAAAATGAGTATAATTA